GGACAGTTGATGGATGCTGACCGCAAGAAAATCTATTACGAACGGCTAACAACAAATCTGTTAAGTTGGATTAGACAAAAAACGTTGGAGTTGAAACAGCGAGATTTCCCCAACTCGTTAGAGGGCATACAGCGAGAACTGCTGGCGTTCAAGGAGTATCGAACAATCGAAAAACCGCCAAAGTAAGTCATCTAAGAAATGGCGGCATTATTTGCTTTAACCGTTTTTAATATTCGCTTTCTGTTTAGGTATAAGGAACGAAGTGAAATCGAAGCGCTGTATTTCACCATCAATACGCTGTTAAAAGCACTAAATCAGCCGCCATACAACCCACAAGAAGGTCAATTGGTGAACGACATTGAGAAGGCGTGGCAACAGCTCGAGTATGCTGAGCACAATCGTGAGGTGGCACTACGCGAGGAACTGTTGCGTCAAGAGAAGCTGGAGCAGCTCAATTACAAATTCGAAAAGAAGTCCGTGCTGCGTGAGGGCTACCTGAAAGAGATGATTCAAGTGCTCTCCGATCCACGCTACTTGCGACAGGTCGACGCTACACTGAAGAAGCACGAAGCCATTTCGGCAGATATTTTGGCGCGCGTGGAGCGTTTCAACGATCTTACCGCTATGGCCAATGAGTTGGAGCGGGAAAACTATCATGGCAAAGAGCGTGTAAAGAGACGCGAAACAGAGGTAATGGACAAGTGGCGCAAATTACTAGAACTGCTTGAAAATCAACGCTTGAACTTGTCACAAATGAGTACGCTCATGAATTTGTTGCGCGAAATCGCCAGCACGACCGAAGCGATTAAAGAACTGCAGACGCAGTTTGCATCCGAAGATGTGGGCCCGCATTTGCTGGGTGTAGAAGAGTTGCTTCAGGCGCATTCTTTGCAAGAATTGCAGGTGAACACGTATGGCGAAACATTGAAACGCTTCAACCGCCAGGCACAACCTTACAAAACGTCTGAACAAAAGGATGCTGCGCTACTTGTGCAGCGCCTAGGCGAACTCGAGCAGGCCTATGCAATGTGAGTAAAGTGTAAGAATATTCCACTGACAATTGGGTAATTGTATCGTATTTTTCCCTGCAGTTTATTAAAGCTGTGCGCAAAGCGACGCGCATGCCTGGAGGAAGCGCGAAACTTTTACCATTTCATGGAAGACTACGACAACGAGGAGGGCTGGCTGGTGGACAAACAACGCATCTGCAAGACAGGCATCACAGCAAAAGACTTGCGGGCTGTTCTTTCACTGCAGCAGAAACACAAGGCGCTCGAGGATGAAATAAAGGTACGCAAGCCGAAATCAACGCAGATGTCAGACGCTGCCAAAAAGTTGATCGCTGAAAAACATCCACGTTCACCAGATATCAAAAGTCGTATCGAATCTTTGGCTGAGCACTGGAAGGCTTTGGAAGAGTTGGTGGAGTTGCGGCGCCGCCAGCTCGAAGACGCCGCCGAAGCGTATCAATTCTACACCGATGCCAACGAAGCGGAGTCGTGGCTAAATGAGAAAATGGCTCTGGTAAAGTCCAATGACTATGGCACCGATGAACCCTCAGCACAGGCGCTTTTGCAGCGCCACCGTGATCTACAGGGCGAGTTGAATGCGTACTCGGGCGATATACTTAACTTGAACCAACAAGCCGAAAAGCTCATCAAAGCTGGTATCTGTACACTTGAGGTAGGTTGGTTGTTTGTTTCCAAGACATCAGTGCTGCAATCAATAGTTTTTTTTCTTGCTACCTTACTAGCTTTCAGCTGCTGAGCCAGAAATGCCCGAGGTCGAACAGGAGGAATGGGTGAACGAGACCCGTCTTGTGCCGAAAGAAGTGTGGGAGGATGAGTGGGTAGAAAAGCTGGAGCATAAGAAAGTCACTGAAACAAAACTGTTGCCACACGTCCGTTCAATGTTTCCCTTCGAGGGTCAGGGCATGAAGATGGATAAGGGCGAGGTAATGTTGCTGAAGTCGAAAACGAACGACGATTGGTGGTGTGTGCGGAAAGATAATGGCTTGGAAGGCTTTGTGCCGGCCAATTACGTGCGTGAAATTGATCCCCGACCGGTGCCATGTATTGTACCAAAGGCAGAAAAGGTCAAGGCTCTGCAGAAGGTGAAGAAGACTATATTGGTGCGACAAGTGGTGCCAGTAAAACGCATTAAGCCAATTGCGGCGCCACCAAAGCCGCTGGTGAAGCGACGCATTTCATCGAACAGTATTAACGAGAATGCCGATAGTGTAGAGAAACGGCAGAAACGCATAAA